GCAGCGGGTGCAAGTGAATCTTCTGTGCTTCAGCCAAGACGTCTGCTGGAAGCGCTAGCAGTGAAGATTAGGAGCTCATCGCTTACACGGCTGGGGTCTGCCTGTTTTCTTAGAATTATTACATTTCCTCATTAAATACCAGGTTTGGAGGAAAATGCATGTCTGTTGATTTCCAAGATACATACATGTACAAGGTGTGATCAAAATATACCCTGCATGTTTAAATTCTTAAAGAACGTATTACAATCAAAGACACACTGCCACGAGCCCCTCGCCTGGGCCACGCACACCAGAGTCCTCAGCCACTTCTGGTCCCTCCTGAGTCTTTCCAGGGTGGGAAGGCGGCTCATGGAAATGTCGCCGTGGCCTCAGCACCCATGCAGTGCCTGGCTCTCCCCTAGGTGAAAGTGAGCGCAGAGGGAGCTGTTTTAGATCAACCGAGAACACAGGCCGCCAGGACAGAGCAACAAAGACACTCAGGGAAGGGCCGCAGAGGCAGGGGACTGTGCAGGAGGGGTGGCAACGCGTCCTTCACTGTGATACATCTAAAAACCAAAGTGAATCATTCGCATTTTTGATCACACCTCGCCTGCCTATCATTGTCTGACATTGCCCCCCTAGTCTCACTTGAGTTTACTTTTAAAAATAGAGATGTGAGGGATGCTATGTGTGGCGGTGCCTGCCTGCAGCCACCACATTATCAGAGACTGAGGCAGGAGGACAGAAGTCCAAGGCCTGCCCGGGCAACGCAGTGTGACCCTGGCTCCAAATGAAACAGGGCCAGGGCAGAAGCGTCTGGGTTTGCCCTCCAGTACCACAAAACGGTAAAAGATAAAGCCCTCATGGAACTTTTCCAGGCTAAAATTTAAAAATACAAAAGGAGAAAAAAAATATGAATGACTAGGTTAAAAAAACTCTTTTTTGGTAAAGAAGAAGAAATACAAACGATAAACCACGGGAAACTTCACAGAGGGTTTGTTTGAATGTTCTGCTTAACAGGGAGCCGGGGCTTCCGGAACTGCGAGGCTGGTGCAGCCTGCAGCGGCTCCGTCAGGCCCCGGCAGCTGCGAGGCCACAGTCACGCCGCAGACAGCCGGCAGCACAGGCACGTGTCGCCTGCACGAGCACACGGGACCCTGAGTCGCAAGGGCCACTCGGCAGAGCGTCTAGAAGCAGATGAACCACGGCTCTGTGGCAAGTCACGGTGTGAACAGGCCTCGGGTCTGCCACGCCGTACGGGGGTGGCTCTGAGCATCTGCAGTCTCCGGGGCAGCTGTGCATTTCTGGCAGTGACGAATACCGCAAAGGTCCACTGCTGGCTTCTGAGATGCCGCGAGCAGGGCAGCTCTGTGTGGAGCGCAAGACCAACCCTGGGCTCACCCGCACGGCACGCCAGGCTCTGAAAGCATGGCTCTACTTACAGGAATCCCCGAGGGAACCCTCTACCTCCTCTGGAATCACGCTCTTGAGGGATGGGATGCTCTGGTCCTGGGAATGTGGAGCCAGCGGCCTCAGGCACTTTCTCGCTCCTCGGTGGTCTTCGTCTCTTGTGACCTGAAACCTCTCCCTTGCAGGAAGCACTTGGAGGGAGTGAGCCTCGGGTAAACTCTCAGCCACCGCTGAGCTGGCTAGACAAAGCAGTGACACTGGCCTAACAGGCATTGCTTGTTAAGGGTTTCTTTTTTTTTAATATAAAAAAGTATTAACTACAGTAGTTCAATGTACAAATACAAAAGAGTTTTTATGTTTTAAAAAAAGTGCCATAATACTGTACATACAAAACTGCTCCACAAGAATGATTTAAATCTCTCCTTGGATCCGGAAGACACCAGGTCCCCGAGGCAGGGGCCCCCGAACAGCCCGGAACACAAAAGCCTCTTCCACTCGCCCTACCCACAGACCCGAGGCTGTGCTCCGTGCCCGCTGCTCCCAGGGCCATGTAGTGAAGCCGTCACTCAGCAGCCAAGCTGCCTGGGCCGGGAGAGGCCCCAGGTCAGATCCAGACAGATGTCTTCCCATCCCCTGATTTGCTGCTGGCACTGCTCTTGTTGGAGCCGGCTTTGGAGCTGGCCCTGGCCTTCTTGTCCCGGGAAGCTGGGGGGTTGTTCTGGTGGTGGAAGGCCTGGATGGCGAGGTCCAGGCGCTCCTGAGCCAGCCTGATCTCGCGCTGCAGCGTCTCCAGCTCGGCTGGGAGCGGCTCCTCGCGGCTGCCGTATTGCTGCTCCTGGGCCGTGTTGGCTTTGTTCTGCCGGTAGGCTATCTTCGCGTTGGACAGCTCGGTGTACTGGACGTGATCCGGCTTGACAGCGATGTTGTAGCCAGGGGGAGCGGACGGCGTGTTCCAAGTGAAAGGATAATTGTAAGCACCCGGCTCTTCGAGGTCCCTCCGCTTACTGTTCAGCGAGTCCCGGATGGTCCCAAACCCCAGGTGAAGCATCTCCCAGATGTTGAGCAGCAGACACAGGCCGGTGACACCATACATTATCAGAAGGAAGATGGTCTTCTCAGTGGGTCTGGAAATAAAGCAGTCGATCTTATGCGGGCACGGCAGCCGGCTGCACACGTAGAACGGGTGCACCTGGAAGCCGTACAGGAAGTACTGCCCTATCAGGAAGCCCACCTCGAACACCGTCCTGGCCAGCAGCTGCAGCACGTAGATCTTCATGAGCCCGTCCTCCCGGATCCGCCGCCGGCCGTCGTGCTTGGGCTTTGGCTGGCCCTGCTCTTTATTCTCTTTCTCACTTTCCAGCTCCATTTCTGGGTACATCATGGGGTCCTCCTCGTGGTCCTCTTCTGTCTCCTCCAGGGCACGGTGTTGTTTCCAGCGCATGGCGTAGGGCTTGCTCCGAGCCGCCTTCTTGTCAGCCTCACCGTGCTCCATCTTGGCGATCTTGTGGATGGCATAGCCCAGGTACATGACGGAGGGCGTGGCCACCAGGATGATCTGGAACACCCAGAAGCGCACGTGCGACAGCGGCGCGAAGGCGTCGTAGCACACGTTCTCGCAGCCCGGCTGCTCCGTGTTGCACACGAACTTGCTCTGCTCGTCGTAGTAGATGGACTCCCCGCCCACCGCGGTCAGGACGATGCGGAAGACGATGAGCACCGTGAGCCAGATCTTCCCGACAAACGTGGAATGGTTGTGGATCTCCTCCAGCAGCCGGGTCAGGAAGCTCCAGCTCATGGTGGCCGAACCGCTCTGCTCTGAGAAAGGTGGGAAAGCACCAAGGCAAAAATAATCAACAAATATTGAAATCCCTTGTTTTTGGTGCAAGGGATCCAGCACAGGGCCTCACACAGGCTGTCTCTACACTAGCACTGAGCTACACCCCAGCCCCAAGCAGTATTAAAATCTTACCATCACTTTCAATCCCTGCATCTCAGGAGCCCTCACCACCCTCCTGGACACTGTCCCCTGCCCACCAGTGCTGGCCTGGGCTTGCAGGGCCCAGGAGTCTGGCTTGCTTTCACGTCTTCCCCAGCTTGAAAAGCAAAACCGTGGCTCCTCAGCACTGGAAGTACAGCTCAGATACGGTAACTGGCTCAACGCACAGCATCGTTTCATCAATCTTCAGAGCCCCGAAAGACAAGGCAGAAAGCAAGGCACAGCCTGGTGGTCTTGTCCCAGCCCCAAGACACCTCCACAGGACCCGGAAACGAAGCATCCTAGGACGCCTGAGTTGTGCAGCGCTGGTGCCGTGTCACAGGTACCAGAGACGGCGCGTTGGCCACAACCCAGGACTAAAACAGCAGAGCAGGAGCGAGGAGCCCCGAGCCGCGCTGCAGACGGACTCAGGCTCCTAGAGGCCCATAGCAGCTCCTGCAGCAAACGCCACCCCCTCACCATGCCCGCGCGCTGTTGGTGTGAAGACAACAGACCTCATCAATGGTTGATCCATTCAAACAGCATTTGGTTTTCCTTCCTGCTGGGCGGGCAACTGAGCTGAGACTCTCCCCCAGGCCAGGCAAGCACTGGGCTGAGCCCTGCACCAGGCCTTTGCACTTTGAGACAGGATTGCACTAAGTTGCCAGCTGGCCTCAAACTTGGGGTCTTGCTGCCTCAGCCACCCCAGTAGCTGAGATTACAGGGCTGTGGCACCATACCCAGGGAAACAGCCTTTTTATGGAGTTTCATTCGGAGATTCTCAGATCTACGTCAAAAATCCAAGTTAGAGCCAGCTCCATAAAAGGTCTGTGGAAGCCAGGTGTAGTGGCACATGTCTGTAATCCGAGGACTTGGGAGGACAGCCTGGGCTACACAGTGAAATCCTGGCTCAAAAAACAAGCAAGCAAACAAGATGTGTGAGACCCCGTGCGGGCAGGCCCTGTCCCGTGTGCACTGTGGGCCGTGGCTGAGATGCACTTACCTGTTACCCAGAGCGCCTGTCACCCCGAAGCGCCTTAGAGAAACGAAGCTTCCCTTGCAGCTTTCCCAAATTCCCTCTGGAAGGGAAGAGAACAGAGTGGGTCATAAGCTTCCTCCCACAGAGAGCAATGAGTCACTAGGAGGAAGCCAAGTTTTCCATGTGCTGCAGGAGTCACTTGGGAAGAGCCGGGTGGGCCCGGCCCACTGATGCCGCTGCCCCCCACCCCGCGGGGCAGGCATGTGTGTGGGAGAAGCTATGTGGCAGTGACCCTCACACTGAGGTCACCGTGTCTGTTCAGGGGTCTGACGGGACGAGTCACTGTGACAGGCAAAGTGGGGAGCGCTGGCGCCCACTGCAGGGTCCCTGAGACAGAGCCAGCCACGCCCGCTCCACCAGCACCTCCTGAGTCTGAGCAGCAGGGCGTGGGCTGCTGAGCCCAGCCCACAGCTGGCCTCGTGGACACCGGCCGTGGGTGATTTACAGACCCGACCGCACTGTCGGAGAAGGAAAACACCTGCGTCCCTATGTGATTCCAAATAAACAGGCTCAGGGTGAAGCCGCACTCCTCATCCTCACCAACTGTTCATGATCATCACTTCCTGAGCAAATCAGAACAGTCCCCAGCTGGGCATGGCAGCAGAAGGCTGTCACTGCTGGGAGACTGAGGCAGGAGTATTGCAAATTTGAGCTCTGCCTGGGCAGTTTAGTGCTTAGTGAGACCCTGTCTCAAAGGGTTGGGGGTGAAGCTCAGTATGAAGGCCCTGGGTTCAGTCCTCAGCGATGGGGAACAAAGTGCAGGAATCTACTTAGGATGTCAGCATCAGTACTTACAGTAACAAATCTGACAAACATCTTCCAAGGTGTAACTCACAAAACCAGAAGTAAATGATACCCCCGCACGCAAACTTTTTGGTGGTACCAGGGTCAAACCCAGGGCCTTGGCACTGAGTACAGACCCAGCTCTTTTTACTCTGAGTCAGGGGTCTCCTAAGTGCTAAACTGCCCAAGCTGGGCTTGAATTTCCACTCCCCTTGCCTGAGCCTTGGCATGGCACCCAGGTGTTGCCCACCTTGCCCAGCTGCAGGCCGGGTCTGCAGCCCGAGGGGAACACTGCAGTGATTCACACCTACAAACCCCCTGCAGGCTCAGGGCTTCCCCACCCCTATGGAAGGCACCTCCCCCAAGGCCTGAAATTCAGTCTCCAACGAGCCAAAGACACGAAGACACCCCTGTTCCAGCGAGGACTCAGCCTTTGCACCAGCCACACAGACAAGGGGTCTCTCCCTCCCTCCCTCCACTTGCCCCATGGACAGCTAACCTGGGCCTCAGCCACCCCCGGCCCGAGAAAGCCTTTCTAGCAGCAACAGCCTTGGGAAAGCTGATGCCGAGTGCCTCAGATGCGGCCCCACTCTGCCGAGTGATGGAGCTGGTGGGAGGCCAGCAGCAGGCCTGGGAGGCGCGGCGCTTGGAGCATGGCTCCTTGAGCACCAGGAGAGCCACAGCACCCTACTCCCACCCTGGAAGTCTCTAGACTGCGTCACTGGGGCTTACGTCTGCACCACAAAATGGCCCAGGGCACAAGCTACTCTGAGTATTTGGTCCTCTGTATGTGGCAGGTACATGGAGTATTTCATTTCCTCTCTGGGGGGGAAAAGGAATAAACTAATAACATTAAAAACAGCTGACACAGTTGGGTATGATAGCGCATTCTTCTAATCCCACGTACATGGCGGGCTGAGGCAGGAGAATCTCAACTGGAGGCAGGCCTGACAAAACCAGCAAGACCCTATGTCAAAATTTAAAATAAAGGGCTGAGGGGGCAGCTCAGTGGTGGAGTGTTTGTCAAACATGTGTATGGTGCTGAGTTAAATCCCTACCATTGCAAAAGCTAAAATGAAATAAAGTTAATGTAAAAAGCTGAGACATAGCCAGGTGTGGTGGCACACAATTGTAATCCCAGCACTCAGGAGGCTGAGGCAGGAGGATTGTTGTGAGCCCGAGACCAGACTGGGCTACAAAGTGAGCTCAAGGCCAGTCTGAACTGCATAGTGAGACCCTGTCTCAAAAAGACAAAAGAAAAAAAAACTGGGCCCCTGAGCTACATCCCCGGCCCAGAATTTTAAAAGTCAGTTGGCATCAACATGACAATACATTATGTCCTTCTTTCCCACACTTTATTTTGGGGCATGGGTGCTGCTGTGAATTGAACCCAGGGCCTCATACATGCTAAGAAGAGCTCTTGCCGAGCACATGAGGCCCTTGATTCCATCCCCAGCACGCGCACACACAATCATAGCACCTTAAAAATACTGTGGTCTTCATATTTCCTACCCTCTTTGTCCACAGAAAGACGCGTTCTGGGTAGGAAATGTGTAGCTCTCAGGGACTCAGGAGAAAAGCAGGGTTTACATCTGCCTGGCATTTGCTGTGGTCTGGGACACTGGTGAGGCCTCTGCGTGGCCTGACAGTACGTCCTCAGGTTGTGCGGACACCGCCCCCAAAGGAACACTATCCCCAACCCTGAGCCTCTCTGGCTTTCTGCGAGGGTGGCATCATCACTACCAGGCCTCTGTGAGCTCCAGGGGTGGGCTGAGGGACACTGCATCTTTAAAGGAACCTCTGCAGGCCTCTGCTACGGTGACAGGGAACTGAGAGACGCTGCTCTGTGTTTTAAGAATGCTGCTCACAGACCTCGTGTGTCACCGGATGGGGGACGGGCACACGCCTGTCCACTCGGGGGAGCCCTGCTTCCTGCATGAATGGCATCACCAGCCGGCTCCCAGTGCCAGTGCGCGGCAGCTCTGCCAGCCCCATGTCCAGACACACTCACACCCAAGAGAACCAAGTTGGCTTACACAACAATCCTGAAGAGAAACCAAATGTGCTATTCTTAGTGCATTTTCCAAGTAAGTAAGATACTAATCTACCTTGTCTTGCGCAAGAAAGCAGAATTCTTTTTTTTGTACCAGGAATGGAACTCAGGACCTTGTGCTTGCCAGGCAGTTGCTTGGGCCCCTGAGCTACATCCCCGGCCCAGAATTTTAAAAGTCAGTTGGCATCAACATGACAATACATTATGGCATTCTTTCCCACACTTTATTTTGGGGCATGGGTGCTGCTGTGAATTGAACCCAGGGCCTCACACACGTTAAGAAGAGCTCTCCAGCTCACTGGCCCCCAAATTCTTCTTAGGAGTTTTCTATCAGACAGGGCCTGTGGTGGCGCACACCTGTGATCTCAGCATTTAGGAGGCTGCGGCAGGAGGATGGTGGTAAGTTCAAGGCCAACCTGGCCTACTTAGTGAGTCCAAGGCCAGGGTGATCTACATAGTGAGACCCTATCTCAAAAAACAAACAAACAAACAAACAAGTGTTTTCTGTCACTTATATACTAACAGGATCAAAAGTTAATATATTTCTCTACATGAGAATTCAGGATTACCTGGAAAGCACAATACCTGATCTCTCAGGACACAGATTAGAACAATGACAAAGACAGATGCTAGAGGTGGTGGCACACGCTTGGATTCCCAGCTCTATGGGAGGCAGCAGGAGGATCAGAGATCAAGGCCCCTTGGACAACTCAGCAAGATGGTCTCAAAACACAGAAGGCTGTGTGACACAGCTCAGTGGAAAGGTCCTGGTTCGATCCAAGTAGTGCGGAAAGGAGAAGGGCAGGGTGAGAAACAGGGAAGGAAGGAGAAAAGGACAGGCAAGGAAAACAACATAAACACCAGGAGAGAGGCCAATATTTTTAAAGACTCAAAGTAAACCTTGAGAGATGTAGATCGTATCCGAGCTTAGGCACTAAGATGTCAAACCTGAAAATGCTGCAATAGAAACTACCCAGAATAAAACGAAAACAAAAAACAAAGACAAAAAAGTGGGGGAAGAAAAAGGTATCAGTGACCTGTAAAGCGAGTAAGAGGCCTAATACATGTGTCACTGGCACCCCGGAAAAGGGAGTAGGCAGGAAAATAGTCTGCAGAAATAATAGCCCAGATTTCCCAAATCTGATTAAACTGTAAGTACACACAAGCAAGAAATGTTTAAAATGCCAAGGACAAGAAAGAGGACGCAAACAACACCACAGCACATCACAACCAAACTGCTTAAAAGAGACAGTGAAGAATGAAGACATTGACAGCCATAAACATCACAGAGACAGGGAAATATTTTTAACAGATTCTCATGAGAAACAGCATAAGCCAGGGAAGAGTAGGCCACACCTTAAAAATCCTGGAAAAAACTCAAGTCCTGGGGGAAAACCCAGAGTCCAGGGCTGCGCTGTAGCTCAGGGGCAGAGCACTTGCTGGCAAACGTGAGGCCTTGGGTTTGATCCCCAGCACCGCGGGAAAAACCCCAGGATTCTGCACGCCGTCAAATCAGAGTCCCAGGACAGAAGCCATGAAAACACACAGCAAACAGAACACAGGAGATGAGCAACCCCAACAGCAGCCTGGCACCAGGCTGAGGCTCTCCAAGACGGCTGCAGGCCCCCAGCGAGGCTACGGACAGCACGGCCGCTGTGGCAAAGAGCTCCATAGCCCCTCGGGCCTATGCGTGTGCTTATACGAGCCCCAGCCACAAGGCTCCCGGGACTCACCACAGAAAGTCACACCTCCTGTGCACACTCCCACAAGTGTGCACGAGTGTCCTCGCTACACCCAAGCCTGGCGCTAGCACAGGTCACAGGAGGAAAATTGGCCAATGCACAGGGAGCACCACCACTCAGCAGTTGTCGGCGAGGGACCGAGGGACCGGGGAGCAGGGGGCAGGCTGCAGCTCCCTGGTGGGCGCTGGCCTAACCTGCACCAGGCCCTGGGTTCCCTCACCAGCCCCCGAAAAGTAACAATGAAAATAACACCATGCATGTCTGTGATGCCAGCCCTCTGTATTCTGAGTAAAGTTAAAGATAACAATAGGCAATGTAGGGGCTGGGGATTTAGCTCAACAGCACAGAGCCTGCCTGGCAAACATGAGGTCGTGAGTTCGATCCTGGTACCGGGAAATAACCAACCAACCAAACAAAAAGAATAGGCAATGTATTAACCATTGTTACCCTATTATCTTGATTTGAAATTTTTTCTCTTAAAAAAAAAAATCCCAGCCCTTGAGAGGATGAGGCAGGAGGACTGAAAATTTGAGCCCAGCCAGGCATTTTAGCAAAACCCTGTCTGAAAATTTTAAAAGGCTGCAGGTGTAGCTCAGCACAAACACCTTGGGGTCAATTCTGGGTACCACAAGGCAACTTTTCGACTAGGTGAGTGTGCTCACGCTCTTGACTCTGGTACTTGTTTTATGGGTGTATACATGTCAAATCTCACTGAACAATACACTTTAAGTATGTGCAGCACCATAGTCAATTATATCTTAATGAAATTGTTAAAAAAAAAAAAAAGATTAGTCAGGCATGGTGGTACACACCTACAATCTCAGCACTCTGGGGGGCTGAGGCAGGAGGCCTACAATTTTGAGTCTAGCCTGAGCAATTCAGCAAGGCTGTCTGAAAATCAAATAGGGCTGGGGATGTAGTCCAGTGTAAAGGCCCAGGGTTCAATCCCAGTACAGGAAAGGGGAGGATTCTCTTAAAATTATGTAGGGAACAGAAAGTAGAACTACAAACCATTGCTATGATGCCTGCTTTACTTATTTACATGTTAAATGGGGGTTAAAGCCAGAGT